ACCAAGTCCGGGACTCGAACCACGGTCAGCCATGTGGGAGTCCAGCGTCCTTAACTACCACACCACCTGCTGGCCCCTATTTTTTATTTTTTTAATTGAACTTTATTTATTTATTTTATTTTTAATTTTGACCACAGAGGGACAGAGTGAGAAAGAGAGAAATAGAGGGAAAGTGACAAAGCGAGCCGCCAGGTCTGGGACTCGAACCATGGCCATGTGGGAGTCCAACGCCCTTAACCACCACTCTACCTGCTGTCCCCAATACATTGTTAATATTTCTATTTCATTCAGTCTTTTGCCAGACCTGTTCTTTTTTTCCCCTACTTTAGAAATCTTACAGTATTTATAATCTTATATGCAGTTTAAAAAAATTTTTAATTCAGAGGCCAGTAGGTGGCATGGTGGAAATAATAATAATAATAATAAATAAAATTATCTTTTAAAAAATATTTAATTCTTAGGACCACCAGATGGCGCAATGGTTGCATTGCTGGACTCCCATGTAGTTAACTGCAGTTCAAGTCCTAGAGCTGGTGGCTTAAAACTCATGCCAGGGGAACCAGCAGTTAGCGTAATGGCTATGTCGCTGGACTCCCACGTAGTCGACTGCGGTTCGCGTCTCGGACCCGGTGGCTTAAAACTCACGCTGGGTGCGTGTGCGTGCGTGCCCAAGATCCCGAGAGGAGAATAGAGGAGAAGGGATTGCGGCGTGGCCATCCCCCCTGGGGGGTGATTTCTCGCTTTCTGTCTCTATGTCTCTCTCTGTCTGTCTGGCGACCACACACGCCCTATAATGAAAATCTCTTCAAAAAAAAACCTCATGCCAGCTGTGTGTGCATGCATACCCAACATCTCAAGTGGAAACTGGAAGAGATGGGATTGCAGTGTGGCCATCCCCCCTGGGGAAGGTGATTTCTTGCATTCTTTCTCTCTATCTCTCTCTGTCTCTCTGGAGAAAGCATGTGCCCTATAGCAAAAAAAAAAAAAAAAAAAAAAAACCTCTCTGAAAAAAAAATGTATTAAATTCTGTATTCAAGGTATATGGCACTATGGACACTGAGCCTCCAAATACCTGGGAGCCCCTGACAGTGAGGGACTTCCTGGGCTGTACATCAGGACCCCCCAGGGAAGAAGAAGGACTCCACATCACACGCTATGACACCCCCGGCTCAAGGATTCCTGGAACTCCCTCCCTAACCTCAGGCCCATGCAGCCTAGCCCTGTAAGGGCTTTGAGGTCCCTGGGGGTTTCAAAGGTCAATGTTCCGCCTTGGCCCAGTTCCCTCTCTTGAAAGGAGGAGGAGATGTCATGCAGGGCACTGGAAAATGGCAACCCAGACTGCCTTTGTGAAAAAATGCTGAGAACTGGAGCCGCACTCACTCGGGAGAGGACTGTTTATCATGGCCACAGCCGTTTACCACGGCTGCTGACCATCCTGGACCTGGGCTCCACCAGGAAAGACGAACCTGAAACTCCTCGGCCCGTGGGAGCCCTGCTGGCTGCACGGGAACATGCCCCCATGGCAAGTGGAATAAACCTTTCTCCGCCTTGAGGCTGATGAGAAGCTGTAGCCAGTACCCTGGACCTGCCAATGCAGAGCAGATGGTCTGAAGAGCAGAAAGGTGGAAAAGGGGAGAGCAGGGGGGAGACCGAATGGGGAAGCACCCCTTCCTCGCCATGTGCTCTTTGGAGGGTTCTTAATCACTCTGTGCCTCCATGACTCCATCGATAAGATGGGAATCTCCTCTCTCCTTTCCCGGGGCTCACAAAACAGGAATAAGATCCTTGGGTTCCAGGGTATAGACTTGCCAGTGGTTATTCCCACCTCAGGAGGCCTAGACAGAGCAGGTGAGGCCCTGCTCCCACCTGAGCTGGAACACCGGCCATACCCACCCAGGTCTAGGAGCGTAACTGCACCTTCGGGCTCAATTTCTCACGGCAATATAATTTGGCCTCTGATCTGTCATGCTGTCCCAGCAGTGACTGCCCAGGAGCACTGTGGTGGGTGGGGTGGGGGCAAGAAGGAGACCGTGCAGACAGGGCTTCTGGAGGTCCCTGCTCCCCAAGCCCTGCCTACCACCCTGAAGCAGGGTGAAGACGAAGGGGAAGAAGGGGGTGGGAAAAAAGAGGGAGCCAGGGGTTGCTAGCAAGAGCTGCTCCATAACTAGCTTCTTGTGGGACCTTGAGCAGGAGGAGGTCATGAGGATCACTGTGTGGCATGCCAGGTTCTGTGCCTCAAACTTCACAAGTTGCAGGTCGTGATCTCTGAAGGTCTAAGGCCAAGGGACTTGTGAGGTCACAGTAGTATGAGAGATGCATACAGCTGACGATGAAGGAGCAGGCGACTGAGAACCACGACCGCCCGCCCACCTGGAAGAGCCCTGATCTGCAAACCCCGCCAGGACTGGAACAGCAGGCACCACCCCTCCTCTCACCTGTCTCCTCCCCTGGTGCCCACATCCAGCAGAGCCCTGTTGGTGCTGCTTCCAAAACACACTCCAGATGCTGCCACTTCAGCCCGGACCCCCTGCCCGCAGCCTAGTCCTCTCCTCTCTGGACGACACCACGCCCTCCCTACCATGCAGTCCCCACTCAGCTGCTGAGTGTGACGTAATCAGATCACATCACTTCCCCACAACAAGCTCTCCAACAGAATTCTAAGTTCCTAAACCAGGCCTACGGGGACCCGCATGATCTGCCTGGCTGGCAGTCCTACCTCACCGTCCACCCGCTCCCCACTCCGCACCCCATCAGCCAAGCAGCCTCTAAACCATGTGGCAAACCTGCCAAGCCCACTGCTCAGGCTCCCTCTGCCTGGACCCCAGGGCAGCTCCATTGCACCGTTTGGCTCTGTCCTCCCTACCACCACCCAGCACTCTCATGTCACGCTGGTCCATGGCCCATCTCCTGCAGCAGGAGGGACATTATAGACCCTGCTCACTGCAGCATCCCTGGTTCTAGCCCAGGGGACACACAGTGGCGGCTCAGGATACACGATGCACATGGCTGACAAACCAGCAGCCCACCTGGTTCCGGAAGGTCAAGGCCACCACGCCACCAATGAGCTCCATTATGAGGCAGATCCCAAGGACATACATAAACTGGAAAACAAAGTGCAGAGATTCACTGGGGGGGACAGAGCGTGTGAGTGTCGGTGGATGGACAGGGGAGCCTCATCCCTGTGAGATCAAGCACAGTAAGAAGAATGCTCTCTGTGGGGGACTTTGCCCCTCCTTCCTGAGAACACAGGGCGTGGACTGTCACAGACTGTCACATTTGGGGAAAGCCCATCTCTGGAGCTGAGGGCAGAAAGAGTGACTCAGCTGTCCCAGGGTCTTGAGCTGGATGTAGGTGGGAAAGTACCCCCCACCCCCACCAGGGAAGTGCTGGGCCTCACTCACCTAAGCCAGAGGGGACAGACCTGGCTTGATGGGTGGACCGGGGCAGTGTTTCCAGAGGCCACATCAGGGGCTCCCCAGACCCCTGGGGTAGGGGTGGGTGCCTGAGGCTTAGCAGATACACACCCTGCCTCTGCCCTTTGCCAGAGAACGGACACAGTCCAAGCTGACTCCAAAAATTTCCAGCCTTAGGCAGCACTGAGACCCAGTTTCTAGGGACTCCTAGGGGCTTCCCGCTGGAGGGGAAACAATGCCAACAAGATGCACACATGGGTGCAGAATAAATGTGTCCGCCCAGCTGGTTACCCAACTTTGGGAAGCCACCCTTCACCCTGCAGGAGGGGAGAGGCAGGTAGGGCTGACTCTATCCTGATCCCAGGTTAGGCACTAGAGTCCTGGGACTTTGGCCAGAATTACCAGGAGCTATAGGGACCTGGGCTGCAACTGCCAGTGATCATTGCAAAGGGACCCCGAGGGAAACATTCTGTGGGAGGTGACACGAGAGACTGCCCAGCTTTGCCCAGTGGCACCTTCGGGAGCCCTGGACCTAGTGTGAGTTGAGCTGACTCACCACCCTTTGTCTTTGCTTGCGCTCGTCTGAGTACGGTTTCTTCTACTCCTATCTCAACATGGAGTTTGAGCAAGCGAGAACAGCATTCGAGTTAGCTGTAACATGCAGGAGTGGAGGTGGCCGGCACTCGAGGGCTGCCCTAGGAAGGAAGCCCTCTGGAGGAGGGCAAGGACTCTGGCTTGTGGCAAGGGCCCAAGGGCCCAGGGCAGCCTCCCAGCTCTCCTGAGCTCCCCAAGTCCCCCAAGCCCAATCTCCTGCTGAGCAGCGGGTGGGGCTAACTCACTGCTTGCAGAAGGCACAGGTTGTCTCGGAGGGACGCCAGCACCCCGATGAAGGAGACGATGAACATGACGACTCCCAGGAGGATGAGGATGATGGCTGGGGCCAGAAAGGCACTCTCGAGGGTTTTGTATTTCTGCCGCTCAACTTCTGCATAGATCCCCACGGACAGGACGAGGGCCCCGATCAGCTGTGGCAGAAAGCAGGGAGTGAGAGAGGGTAGGCACTGGGTTCCCTTGCCTTTCCTCTGAAGAGGTGTCTGGGAGCTGGAGAACCTGCCATTGGGGGGCTTGCCCCAGGGTACCACACATGAGGGACCCTGCTACACCTCCCTTCAGACCTCAGGAAATGACTGTATTTGGAGGTAGGGCCCTTAAGGGGGTAATTAAGTTAAAACGAGGCCACTAGGTGGGCCCTAATCCAGTATGACAGTGTCCTTATGAAAAGAGAGTTAAAAAAAAAAAAAGCAGCAGAACATTCAACAGGCACGAAAATGGAAATTTATCTGTAGATGACAATGTGTATAGTAATTTACTGGACTAACATGGTGTATTCATGCTGGGAAAACTCATTTTCTATGTTGTAAAGATATCTGGTGATTGAATGTAAAAAATAAGGAAAGATAGCATTAAAAAGAGCCTCCCACAATCACCAGATCAAAGCAGTCCCTTACAGTAAGATTAAAGTGTGTGGGAACCAGCAGTTAGTGTAATGGCTATGTCACTGGACTCCCACGTAGTCGACCGCGGTTTGCGTCTTGGACTCGGTGGCTTAAATCTCACGCCGGGCGCGTGTGCGTGCGTGCCCAAGATCCTGAGAGGAGAATGGAGGAGAAGAGATTGCGGCGTGACCATCCCCCCTGGGGGGGTGATTTCTCGCTTTCTGTCTCTATGTCTCTGTCTGTCTGGTGAGCGCACGCGCCCTATAGCGAAAACCTCTCCAAAAAAAAAAAAAAGATTAAAGTGTGTAGATGTCCCTCTCCTGGATCCTCTAGAAAGCACCTTGGTCTAGGAAGAATAATCAGAAATCTGGCCTCCAAAAATATAATTAGATATGTGCATTTTTTTGGTTATCACTTATACCTCAATAAAGCTTTTTAAAAGGAGGGAAAAGAGAGAGAGATTAGTACACAGATGCACGGGAGGATAGAGGGAGAAGATGGCCATCAGCAAGCCAAAGTGGCCTTGGAAGAAACCAACCCCCTTCTAGCCTCAGGGAGTGTCTGTTGTTCAAGACACTACATCTGCAGTACTGAACTGAAAGTATGGGCCGACGCTCACTGGTTCGGCCTCTATCCCGAGATGCTGCCTTAGGGGAGAATGGTGGTTTGGGGGACACGCCACTGGTCGGAGGGTCAGAGAGCATGAGTTGAGGCGCAGGTCTGCCACTCGCTAACCCTGGGTCTTACCCAGGCATGTGACCATGCGAGTCTGTGTTCCCATCTAAAAAATGGGTCTGACGACATTTGCTTCTGCCCTGCTCACCCCACAGCCTCCTGCCAGACTTCAGCGAGGTAACAAAGGGGAACCGCTAGGAACCCGAAAGCATGGGGCCTCTCTCGATGTGTACTAAACAGGTCACCCAAAGGCAATTTTGGAGCGTCTAAGCAGGATGGCTATTTCCCCAAGCACCTTAAATAAGGAATCTAGATACTTTCAGGATGACCATGGGCAAGGCCAAAGGTTGGAGCAGGAGGAACTGTGAGGGGATTTTGCAGTAAAACCCCTCATGCTCAGTTTCCTTAGAGACACCGTAAACACTGTGTTACAGGACACCGTGACTTCCCATCAGGAAAACCAGACTCCTCACAGCTCAAACGCACCACCGAGCATGCCCAGCTCAGGGCGTTTGCACGGGCTGTTCCTACTGCCTGGAATGCTCCCCCCCCCCCCGCCCCGCCCAGCTACAGGGCTCAACCCCCCAGCTCCTTCTCTTTGCTCAGTTTTCACCTGCTCCGTGAGGCCTCTTGAGTGATCTTATTTAAAAATGGAGAGTCCCTTCCCCTGAACTCCTGAAGCCCTTTCCCTGTTTCATTTTCCTTCTATACACTTACTAATATTTAACATACTACATTCTTTCTTTCAGTTTGAAATTGTTCATCTTCGGCACCAGAATACAAACTTCATGTGAGAAGGGATTTTTCAACTGTTGCGGGTAGTCCCAGCCCCCGACAGTCCTGACTCTGAGGAGTACCATGGCCATTGACAACCAACGGGATGAGTGAGAGCTGGACTTCCCAACAGATCCCCCTGATTTTGAGTGGGATGCTGTCTACCCAGACCGCGGCCTGTCCGAGGATTCTGACTCGCTGGGCCACACATTCCTGTGGGCAGGGACAAGCCATGAGATAACTGGGTTTCTCTGCCGAGCTGCAGGAGGCATGGAAGCCTGACAGGAAGGCGTGGTCTGTCAGCGAAGGTCTCTGTAAAGGAAGGGGGTTGGGCGTCCCTAATCGAAACATCAGAAATGCAAAACACTCCAAGGTCTAAAACGTTTTGAGCATGAACAAGATCCCACAGGTGGGAAATTCTACATCTGACCGCATGTGACGGGTCACGGTCGGACGTTGCGATACAAACGTACCACGTGAAATTACCTTCAGGATATGTGTACACAGTGCACAAGCAACATTGCTGAGCTTCGTGTTTACACTCGGCCCCATCCCCAAGATCTCTCATAACGTATATGCAAATATTTCAAAATGAAAACTAAATCTGAAACACATCTGGTCCCAGTTACTTCGGATAAGAGATACTTACTCAACTTGAATAGACAGAATGTCAGCGAGGATGTCACAGGGTACACTGAACAGAGCTACCCCAGAGGCCGCCCGTCCAGTCGCTGGGT